TAAGCCTGCTTGAAGGTGGCCGCGTCGGCGTCGCAGGCAACGGCATCGCACCCCTCGTCCCACTTCGTCTTCGGCTCGGCATGGTCCACATACGCGGGCCACCGACACAGACCTACGTGCTCCGATGCGCGGTGATTCTGCCGCCACTCAGACTCCAGCGACGGTAGGCTCTCCCGGTGCTCCTCGGGGGCCCAGTGCTCTTCCCTGTGGACCCACGCGTGCCACTCCTTCACCGCGTGCGCCAAGCCAGGGGACTCCCGAATTGTCCTCGCGATCTCAGTCAAGGGTGCGTGCTGGAACATGTTCGCGAGGTACACGAACCCGTGGAAGTGGAGCGTGCCTAGGTGCTGGTTCTCGACGGCGCCAAGCAAAGCTGCAGCAACCCCGAAAATCCCGCCCATGGGGCGCGAGTTGGAGCCGAACTTGTCCGTGCAACAGCACCGGGGCTGCCTACGATATCTTCGCGCGACGCCGCACTCGGCGCACAACCGCAGACCCAGGAGGCGGCCCAAGATCACGTTCACGGCGACGCGGAAGCCCTGAACGACCGAGAGAGGATCATTGGCCACTTCGCACAGACGCAAATCGAAATCGGGGAGCTCCGCGTCGGCGCTCTCCGACAATGACGGCCACTCCCGTGACGCCAATCGTTTCCTCATGGCATTCCGTGCGTCGTCTGTGCACCCCGCGCGCAGCAGCGGGTCGCCCTGGCGTGCTCTGTGTAGACGCATCACCAAGCAGGACTGCTTCTCATTTGGCGAGATGGTGATGAAAAGCCCGTGCCCGTATCCAATCGCGCCAGACTGGAATACGTGGCCCATCCTGCGACGCAGCTCCTGGGTGCCTGCAAGGCTGCTCGTCACAGAGCGCATGTTGTGCACGATCTGTTTCTGGGTTGTGTCCAGGCCATGCGCCATGTGCAGCACCGTCAAGTTGCCAGCAATTGGCCGCCTGTTCGGCCCGTAGTACCCCTTCGCCAACAGGTCGTGCAACCCGCGGACAGCCGTGGTCAGGCGCTCCGTGAAAGCGGATCCGTCTTCGTCCTTGTACTTCCTGACTTTGCTCCCCAACCTCGCGGTGATGCCCAAAAAGCGGAAGTGGACATTGCGCATGCCTGGGATGAAGAGCCAGTCCGATCGGATCTGGTGTTCCACTCGGCGACTCATGCCTGCAAGCCACATCCCCATGCTGATGGACGGCCGGTTTTGCACTTCCTCGGGCCGCCCCACCGCGCGGCGCCGATGTGCGGCATCGGCACCGTTGCGCCAAGACCTCGTGAAGTCTGGCCCCCCGCTCTGCCACAGCAGCGTGTGCGGGAAAGCGATCGCGGGGTACTTCCCGTTCCACTGCTCCAACATGGCCGCGTCGGCGACGTACGGGACGACCGGCCCGCCGTCCATGGCTCGCTGTTGGCGCTGACCCGCGGTCCCTTGCCGGGACGTCGCATCTGTGGGCGCGCAGGCGGTCGGTCTGGCATCGTCGAAAACAGAGGCGACGTCAGTGCTGGCCAGCGCCGGAGTCGCGTGCTTGTTATCCTGCACACTGCTCCTGGACGGATCCGCCACCACCGTCGCCCGGTCCACGGCTGGCGGGACCTTCCCGTCGGTGTCCTCGGGGGTGCCGAGCCACGGGTAGCACTGCTTCGCGCGCCTTTCAAACGCCTCCTTGGCAGCGGCGATTGCGATGGGATTGCCAGCAGCATCTCTACAAAAAGCGGGGTGGCCGCGGTCGATGAGCTCCCAGCCGAGCTGCAGCACCACATGAGCGCGGAGGCGCATGTGCTTCAGGTGCTTCGACATGTCCTTGTCTTTCATCCGGAACTCGAAGCGAACCAAGTGGGCCAGCGTCTCGCCGTCGTGGGGCAGCGCCGCAGCAGCACTGGAACTCTCCGTGATGGCGAGCAGGCGCTCCAGGACGTCGTCCCAATGCACCAGGAAGCTGGCCAGATTACCGCGGACAGCGTACCGACTGTGCGGATGCATGGCCTCTGGGGTTCGCCGTGCGAGCAGCGCGCCACTACCCCCCGTGCGCCACTCGGCCACACTGCAGTTTCCAGGGGGGGCGGGGTCCGCAAAGAACAGAGAAGGGGCAGTGCCGCGCTACTTCGCGCAGCTCGCCTGATTGTTCATGAGGTGGCCCTTATCGCCCTCGACGTAGAACGCCATCAAACTCGTCCACACTGGCGTGGCCGCGGCCATCTCGATCCACCGGGGCTTGTGCTTCTCCCACCATGCCGACACGAACCCGACAAAGTTGTCGTTGGCGATGGCGGGACGCGGGATTCGCTCCCGCACCGTTCGCGTCTTCGCGAAAATGCCGCGGCACTGCCAGCACAGAGGTATGCGGCACGACTCGCACAGCTCATCAACAACTCCATGCTGACGGTCGCACACCACGTCTTCCGGGCAGCACAGGAAGCGCATGGAGTTCTGGCTTCCGTTCGGACCATTCCACCGCACCGTTCGCACCCACGGCGAAGACGCGGTTGTCTGCGTCGGATAGTGGTGCGACCGCGTCCCGCGGTGGTCCGGAGCAGGGTGCGGGAAGTGCGCCAGGAACGCGTCCAAGCCGAAGGCGTACTCCAGGAGCTCACGCGGACAACTGCGCAAGAGCCCGCGCAGTGGCGTCCATCCAATCTCACTGACTCCAGCGGACTCGGGGTCCTCGACACTCGTGTAGATCTGACCGCAGCAGAAGCACACCAGCGACGACAAACAAGCATCGTTCGCCACTTGCCTCATGGTGCGAATTGCCCGCCGGTCTCTGCAAATGCCGAGAGCTGGCATGCCAGTGCGCGCCCGGACCTCCACCGCCTGGCAGTAGATGGACCAGATCCACGCTTCCTGCTCCTCCAGCACCTCGGCATGGACGCCGACATCGTCGGCGCTGTCAGCGAGTCTCTTGTTCCACCCCTGCCTCCACGCTGCTGGGAGGCAGGCCTGGTGGCAGCTGATTACGTGGCGCCGCAAATCCCCTTCCGTCTCCCCGGTCCAGCGGCACTGCCGAACGGCGCAGTTGCAGATCGGCCACTGCAATCCGTCCATTACCTCCTGGATGTTGTCTGCGGCGTCCGACGGGTCGAACGGCGGAGGAAGCGTCGGGTCCTGCCGGAGAAATGCAGAGAAAGCCCGAGCTGCTTCGTGGGCGACGTCCAGCGTCGTGTGCGCCACGTCGGCGCCGCAGGCCAAGTGGTCAACGTCGGACTGCTCTGACCCGGCAGGGGCCTCCGACAGCTCGGAATTGGAGTCCGACGCCGGCTCTGAGGGCGATGACTCCCGGTCGGCGTCGGAGTCAGACTCGGGGGCCTCCGCGGCTGCAGCGGCATGCTCTTCGCGTTCGCCCTGCGGTCGGAGACGCCCTGACGCGGCGCGCGGCAGCCGCGCCCCGTCGGCGGCCTGCGGGCGCGCGTTGCTGCCGGAACTCGCGCCCGCCGCACTCCCTCTCAGTGAACTGCAAGCGCCCGGACGCCTCGGCTCAGGATGCGGCGGCGGCGGAGAAGGCGCCCGAGCGGGCGCGCCAGCGGAAGAGTCTGCCGCGCCGACTTCATGGCGCGAGCGTGGAGGCCGGGGTTCAGGATGCGGCGGCGGCGGTGGAGGTGGCAGCGGTGGCGCGCGCCTGGTCGACTGCGAACTCCTCGTCGCTCGACTCCGCCATGGCGCGCCAGAAGCGTCGCCGCCCCGCGGGCCAACTGGGCAGCCCTGACTGCGGCAAGACTGGACCCCGGAGCCGCTATCGAGCCCACATGGTTTACAGATGCCGCGCGCGCTGAGATGGGCCATTGTGGGACGCGCGGCTAATGGGCGAATTCCGATGCGACCTCAGGTTGCGCGGCGCTCGGCGCATGCTCCGGGGTTGTTTTCAAAATGGTCTTGCATTGAAGCGTGATTTTCGGAAGGGCGCTCGCAGACGCCACGCAGCCCCCTGGGGCTCCACGATCCCGGAAGTCTAAAAGGACCTGGGGTTCACAGAGACAGAATGGATCACAACCTCCGATGCCCCAGCGAACGTGCTGCCCGCCCACAGGGGTCGGATCAAAAGGCCTCGAAGGTGCAGCCAGGAAGCAGAATCACAGAGCCCGAGATCGGCTTGGCCATCGCTCCCCGGAGTATCTCCCGCGGTCACTGCGGGTTCGCATTGAAGTTTAAACGCGACCTCAGGTTGCGGGACAGACAACGCAGAAGTTCCCCAGCAGTGATGAAGACGATGGTGGTGCTCATGATGGTGACCGTTATCGTGTGGCCTCGTGCGCCGGCGAGTGATGATGACGATGGTGGTGCCGGTGATGGTGATGCCGATGGTGGTGTTTGTCGTCCGGGTGGTGCTGATGATGGCAGGTAGGATGATGATGGCGAGGCTGATGATGAAGGAGGTTGCTTTCAAAAATCGGACAGACCACTGGGATAGCTTCAGAAAGATGAGGGAGGGAGGTTTTTGCAACAGCGCTGGACGTACAAGCCTAGACCGAGCGTTTGGGGTTATGGCTGCTTTCGCTTTTTATTGTGCTCGAAAAAGGTCAAAGCTAATGTACAAGCAGCACCGTGCGAGCAGCTGCGGATCGAAAGTCCCGATAATCATGGGAGCGCGCTGTATGGCCGACGGGGAGAGCTGGAAAATGTTACTACCTGAGCGCTGGACTACCTGAGCGCTGGAACGAGTCATGCGGGTTCACCCCTCAGTGTCAAGAGATGTGCAAGCACGACGAGGCGTTGGTCAAGAGGCCTGGTCAAAACTGCCGCTGAGAAGGCAAAGCTGGTTCTAGCCGAGTCTGTGGCTCGGCAGTCGTGGCGCTGAGAGGGCAAGGCTGGTTGTAGCCGAATATACTCGGGGGTTGCCAGGGGTGCCCCCGGCCCAATGCGCTTCTGGCTTCTCGTGCCATTTTAGAGCCCCCAGGGCCCTCTGACCCCCGCGAGGAGCGCTCTGGAGGCCGCGGGGGCCCCCGCGGAACTTCTGGGGCACCTTGGGCCAAGGACACCTTGAGCATCATCCGATATAGCGCCGGCCAGCCTGCGCTCGGAGCGGCGCCACTTCCCGGCGCCGCCCTGGCGCGGCACGGCCGCGGCAACCGCGGCGAGGGCATCGAGGTTGAGGGCGCTCACTGTCTCCGCGTTCTCCATGGGCTCCAGGGCGCGCAGGAGGTCGCCCGTGGGGGGGCTGTCGCGCACGAGCACAAGCAGAACCTCCAGGCCGTCGAGCAAGGGCTCCAGCCCGTCGAGCTTCGCCATGTCGTCCGCCAGCATGGCCGCCTGCGCATCTGCCTGCAATGATTCGAGGAAGCGATCAAGCTTCGCCACGATCTTCGCAACGGCCGCCTCCGGCGACATGTCCCTCGCCGCCGCCGCGGCTGCCATGTCCCCCTCGATGATCGTCAGGCGCTGCGCCCACTCGAGCCTTCGAACGGGGGTTGCATTTCCCGAAGCAACGCGCCCTCTGCGCCGCCGCATCGGGAGCGGTGCGCGGGGATCGGGAAGACCGCGACATGAACGCGATAATCATAGCCGCGCTTGCCTTCCCGACGCGGAAACGCCCGGGCGCCCCCCCCGAAAATGCAACCCTCGCGCGGCAACCTGTCGGCCGGGAAAGCCGCCGCCGGCCAGCGAGACACGGTGCCCGCGAGCGCCTCCGCGCCGACCCCCGGCATCTCCACGAAACGCTTGACCGCGGCAGCGATGTCCAGCTGAATGCCCTTGAACGCACGGTATTTCGCCCTCTCCGCAGACTGCGCTGCGCTCCGCGCTTCCCCCGCTGCGAACGCCGTCGCCGCCTCGAGGTACGCGCCCACCGTCACCTCCGCCGCGGCGGCGGTCGGCGCCGGGACGGCGTGGGCCAGCGGCGCGGCCGCGGGCGCCGGCGCCTGCGCATCCCCGGCGACGCCCGCAGGCGGAGCCACCGCCGGGACCGCCAAGGCTCCGCCGCTGGCCATTGAAGCGGCACCGACCGCCGGGGCGCCCGCGGGCGCACGCGCCGGTGGCACGGCATCCGCGCCCGCGCCAACCGCCGCCAACGTCATCGCCATCGACGCGGCAACGCCGCCCGCCGTCGCCACCTGGGACGCGCCGGCGGCGCGCGTCACTTCCGCCGCCGCGGCCGCTGACGGCGGCGCCGCGCCAGCGCCAACCGCCTCCACCCCCGCCGTCGGCGATTCAGCGACGCCGCCCGCCATCGACATCTGGAAAACGCCGGCGGCGGTTGTCTCTTTCGCCATCTCTGCCTGCGCCCCGCGCTGCCCCGCATCCACGGACAGCGTGACCGCGGCGAAGTGCTCCGCGATGAGTTTGTCCTCGCGCGCCTTCACCTTCGCGGCCACTCCGGTCAAGTCCGTCGCCGGGGCGCAGGCCGTGAAGACGGACCGGAACCGCTCCACCGCGCAAGCGCATAGAGCTCCAGACGGGACGAGGAACGGGTACTCCTGCACCAGATCGAGGAGCCCATCGACGTACTTGTCGGCGACCAGTCCCACTGGGCGAATCTGCACGGAATGCCACGACGTCCACCTGGAATGGTTCGTGGAATTCGTGTTCTCCCGGAACAGCAGCTTCGACGCTCCGCCCTGGTGCGAGAACCCTCCTGGGCGGCCAACGGCATTTACGCCCATGGCCTCGCCGATCAGTTGGCGCAGCACGGCGCGGAACTCCTCGAAGGTCTGCGTGTACATCCCGAAGCACCACGCACCTGGGGCATTCGCAATGCCGCCCTCTGCCGTTTCCTGGACGACAGCAGTCGGGTTGTCCTGGTGCGACGGGCTCATGTACTCGGCCACGACGTTCTGCGGCAACCCAGCATTGAATGCTGTGGCCCACTCGGGGACGTCGGCCGCATTCTTGGAAATCAAGCCGGACATCCAACGAACTGCGTTCTTGGACTCCTTCCTGCAGACAAGCTCGTCCGCATCCGCGAGCACTCCGACGATGCCGCCATCAAATGCCAGGCCCTTTGCCTGCACACTGACGTCGAAGAATACCTCCAGCACCATGGCCTGGACCTTCGAGTTCGCGTCCATCTTGCGGGCCTTCAGCGGGGAGCCACCGGCCGACTGGAGGAACGAGGTCATGCTGAGGAAGTCAACGCGAGTTCGCTTGCCTGAGAGAACACCTTGGTCCGAAGTGGCTGCGGGACTTCCACCTTGCCTTCTCTTTCAGATGGACAGCCTTCATCTGCAGGGCTCTTGGCGTCCACGACGGCCCCATATGCCTCCACAGTGGCAGTAGGACGCCCAGAAGAGGCTCCCAATAATGCCTCCGCAGACCCAAAAGTGACCCGGCAGGCCTGCAAAATGGCGCAGCTCGCCCACGCGCATGAAAAGATATCCCCAGAATGCCTCCGAATAAATTCAAATGATATAGCAGCGGTGCTGCGAAGACAGGAACGAATCCCACAGACGGGCCAAAGTAGCCCCAAGAGGCCCCAAGAAGGCCCCAAAGATCCTCCCACGAACCCGCGAAAATGGCGAGCGCCCCCAAAGAGCCCCCGATGGGAAAGACGAACTGGCATTTTGAACCTTTCCCCCCGAGATGGCCCCCAAGAAAAAGAAAAGCCTCCCGCGAGCTCCCTGAAAAGACCCCAAAAGGCTCCAAGATGGTCTCGCGATGAGGCCCCCCAAAGCGCCCCAAGACAGCCCAAGGTGACCCCAATAAGGTCGGCTGAAGAGGCTCCCAAAATGGCCTCAAGATCAGAGGCCCCCAAGAGTGCCCCAAGACAGCCCAAGGTGCCCCCAACAAGGTCGGGGACGGCCAGCACGACAACGAGTATGGACCAGGATGGACATCAAGACGGCCGACACGGCCTTCAACGTGAAGGCTGAGTGACTCTGAATGTGAGTGAGTCTGAATGTGAATGTGTCTTCGCGTGTGAGTCTGAATATGACTGAGCACACTGTTACTGTATCTGGGTGTGAGCGGTATGCGGAAGACTCAGTCAGGGAATCAGAGAATCTGAGTTGGAGTCTGAATGGGCTGTAGGGCTATAGGGCTATAGGGCTCTAGAGCTATGCGGCTATAGGGCTATAGAGCTATGCGGCTATAGGGCTATAGGGCTATACGGCTATAGGGCTCAAGGGCAAAAGGGATATAAGGCTATAGGGCTATAGGGCTATAGGCCTATAGAACTATAGGGCTACAGGGATATAGGGCTATGGAGCTATACGGGTATGGGGATATAGATGTGAAGGAATATCGGACTACATTGCTATATGGGCTATTGGGCTATTGGGCTACAGGACTATAGGGCTAAAGGGTTATAGGGCTATAGGGCTATAGGGCTATACGGCTATAGGGCTATAAGGCTATAGCGCTATAGTGCTCTAGGGCTCTAGGGCTATAGGGTTATAAGGCTGTAGGGCTATAGGGCTATGTAGGCTATAGGGCTTTAGAGCTATGGGGCTATAGGGCTATAGGGCTATAAAGCTATAGGGCTCTAGGGCTCTAGGAATATAGGGCTATAGGGCTACAGGGCTATAGGGCTATAGGGCCTCCGAATGCCCCCAGAAAGCTCCAAAGATGCTCCAGGAGTGCAAAGTCGATCAGGGCCCCCGCTGGTGGCCCCGCAGGGTGACACCCATTCGGGAGCAGAGCCTCCCTCCTCCGGCTCTCCCCTTCCAATACGAAAGCGTCTGAGACTTCCGCGCTCTTGAGGTTCGTGAGAAACCGTCTTCAAGGCTTCTCCCTTGTCGGACCCTCCCCTACGTCCGAACCGCTCCCATACTGCTTAAAACCTCACTCTTATCCGAAAACGTCTTGGCGCGATCTTGGAGGCTCTTCGGGCCGTCGTGGAGCGTCCGAGACACGAAACAGCGAGAAGCACACGACCACGACCTCTGACGGTGCGCTTTGACCAGAGTTCCGAGGTGAATCCAGCCGTGACGCCGAGGGTCCCCCAGGCGAAAACGAGGAAACGTAATCGGCATCGGTGTGTTTTCCTCCTCTGAGGGCAGGCAAGCCGTCCCTGCCAATGCCGAAAATGTGCGCTGCCTGGATTTGCCAGGTTACGCTGGATGGCTGCCCTTAATGTCGTCATGACTCTGGTGCGCTGCCCGGATCTGCCGGGTCACGCCGGATGCAGCGAGTCAAGCGAGAGACGGCTGGGAGTTCTGGTAGCAAGTAATAAAGCGAGAGGACCTCGAGGAAAAAAAAGTACCGATACCGCTAATGACTGCCACGACCTCTTAGGGTGCGCTCTGACCAGAATTCCGAGATGAATCCAGCCGTGACGCCGAGGGGCCCCGAGGCGAAAGCGAGGAAAGGTAATCGGCATCGATATTTTTTCCCCCTCTGAGGGCGGACATGCCGCCCCTGCCGATGCCGAAAATGTGCGCTGCCTGGATGTGCCAGGTTACGCTGGATGGCTGCCCTAAATGTCGTCATGACTCTGGTGCGCTGCCCGGATCTGCCGGGTCACGCCGGATGCCGGCAACCCAGGAGCTGGTCGAACACCTCCTGAAAGTCCCTCCGAGGAGGCCTCACTCTGCCAGCGGACCCCCATCTCCCCCCCTCCTTCAACATTTCCAACGCCCGGAGGCGACCCAACAGCGCCCCAAGACGGGCCAAGATATCCCCAACACCGCCCAAGAGAGCCTCCAGAAGACTCCAGCCCGCTCGAAGACGCTCTAGACAGCACCAGGCGGTCCACGACGCCTCCAAGACGCTCCAAGAAGCCTCCGAGACTCTGGAAATCGCAAGGGCACCCGAAGAACCACAAGGGCACCCGAAGGCACCCGAAAGCACCCGAAGGCACCCGAAGGCACCCGAAAGCACCTCAGAACCCTCTGACACCAGGAGTGCCCACAAGGCTCCCGTTGATAACTCCCACCACACACTTCCCCAAACCTTCCAAGAATAGCCGGAGAATCCCATACATTCGCATGGACGCTCCGCAAAACTCTGAAGATTTCCAGAGAACCCGAAGAAGCAGAAGGGCACCCGAAGGCACCCAAAGGCACCCGAAGGCACCCGAAGGCACCTCGGAGACATCCAACAACGGGATGGCACCCGCAGGGCTCCCGTTGAGCACTCCCTCCGAATGGACATCCCCGAAACCAGAAACACACCAGATAGCGTTTTGAAGTCACCTGAAGGGCCCGTGACCCCCCCTCGCCAGAATCATCATCACCGCCATGGTAAGAATCGCCAGAATCATCATCATCAGAAGGTCCTCGAAACTCTGGGGATCGCCAGGGCACCCGAGGAACCACAAGGGCACCCGAAGGCACCCGAAGGCACCTCAGAACCCTCTGACAACAAGGAGCGTCCACAAGGCTCCCGGTGATCACTCTCACAACACACTTCCCCAAACCTTCCAAAGAATAGCCAGAGAATCCCATACATTTGCATGGACGCTCCGCAAAACTCTGGAATTTCCAGAGCACCCAAAGACGCAGAAGCGCACCCGAATGCACCCGAAAGCAACCGAAGGCACCCGAAAGCACCTCGGAGACACCCATCACTGGGATGGCACCCGAAAGGCTCCCGTTGAGCACTCCCTCCGAATGGACACTCCCGAAACCAGAAACACACCCGATAGCGTTTTGAAGGCACCTCAAAGGCCCCTTACCCCCCTCCGCGATATCAGCATCTATGGGCCCTCCAGGGCACTCGAAGGAACGCCAGGGCACTTGAAATGCACTCGACACCGATATGGCAACCGCAAACCACCCAACGAATATCGAGGGATTCCCACCTATGTGAAGAGAAGGTCCACGAACCACCAAGGATCGCCAGAGCACCCGAAGAACCACAAGGGCACCCGAAGGAAACCGAAGGCACCCGAGGGCACCTCAGAACCCCCGAACACCAGGATGGCAACCGCAAGGCCTCCGTTGAGCACTCCCACCACGCACTCCCCTGAGCCTTCGTATTGTATCCGGATATTCCCATACATTCGCATAGAAGCTCCGCGAAACTCTAAGGATCTCCAGGGCACCCGTTAGCCGGAGAACCTCATTTTCTAAACTGCATCGTTCACAATCCGCCAACCCGTGCTTGCCGGGAATGAAAAGGCGCGTGAGACATTTGGCTGTCCCCCTCCCTCTTTCCCCCTCCCCGGGGGCCGAAGACGGCCCAAGAGGGCACTGAGACGGCCCCAAGGTCACCCAAGACGACCCTAGAGAGTCCCGAGAGGGCCCTAAGAGAGCCCAAAAAGGGATATACGAACTGACAGTTCGAGCCTTTCCCCCCAAGATGGCCCAAAGAGCCCCCCACGGCGCCCCGAGACGCCCCCAAAAGAGGCCCCCAAGGGAGCCCTAAATGACTCCCAGCTGCCCCCAAGAGCCCTCAAAGAGGCCCCTGAGAGAAATCCCAAGCGGCCCTAATATTCATCCAATTCATCCACGCGGCTCCTGGCCAACAGCCCAGGCACGGTGGCGGGTTGGGCTGAAGTCTACTGACTTCCACGATCGTCGCAAGTTCTGACTCCTTCTGGGGGTCGGCGGAATGGTCTAAGCCACTGCACAAACAGAACCCGAGGAACCCCTGGAAAGAGCCGGAAAAGCATGCGAATTCACCCGACCAGCGCCCGAAGTGAACCTGCGGGCACTCGGAACTAACTTCTCTTGAAGGCACCCAATTTCACCGGAACCCACAGGGAACCAGAGAACCGCCCGAAAATCATGCGAAATTCATACGTAAACCAACTCACGAGAAGCCATGCTCAGCGGGGCTGCGCGGGAAGCCGCCTGCGTAGTCGAGGCCGACACGGGCGTCGACGGCACCCGAGCGCACGCGAACGGCACCAAGAGGGCACCCGAAGGCACCCGCAAGGCACCCAAAGGCACCCGCAAGGAACCGAAAAAAAAAAAAAAAAAAAAAAAAAAAAAAAAAAAAAAAAAACAAAAAAAAAAAAAAAAAAAAAAAAAAAAAAAAGAAACAAAAAAAAAAAAAAAAAAAAAAAAAAGAAAAAAAAAAAAAAAAAAAAAAAAAAAAAAAAAAAAAAAAAAACGACAAAAAAATACAAAAAAAAAAACGAAAAAAAAAAAAAAAATAAAAAAAAAAAAAAGAAAAACAAAAAAAAAAAAAAAAAAGAAAAAAAACAAAAAAAAAAAAGAAAAAAAAAAAAAAAACA